AAATTTAGAAGATATGTATAAAACATTAAATAATTTAGTTCAGTTATGTAAAACTTTAAAAATCGATAAATTAGCTATACCACACCTTGGTAGTGGGTGTGACGGCCTAGATTGGTCTGAAGTAAAGACTATGGTCAAATTTTTATTTTATAACGTTGATATTGAAGTCAAAATATATTCTAAGTCAGACCTGACTGGAGAAGAAAAACAGCAAATTATCACAGATCATCATACAAATCCTCTCGGAGGACACAGGGGAATCGACCAAACCATTAAACGGATTAAAATACAATTTGACTGGGATAATTTAACAGAAGATGTTAAGAAGTTTGTAAGTGCGTGTCAACTCTGTCAGATCAACAAAGGCAGTAATCACAATGTTAAACAACCAATGATTATAAGCACCACGGCAACGGAACCATTTGAAAAACTATTTATAGATATCGTAAATCATAACCTATTTAAAAGTATATTTGTAATATTAAATGAAACTCTCCAATCCATTGTTCCACAGAAAATATCTAAATTAAATGTAATAAAAGACCTAAATTTGTTAGCAAAACAGTCTATGGATATATTGAACCTACCAAATAAGCATATTGAAACTTCGATTATTGTGAAAACAGAAATTCATTTTATTGTCATCTATCTATTAATATTAGTATGTACTATTACGTTGATAAGCATATTTTTTAAGTTTAGAAATAAGAGAGTAGTATATAATCCAGAACTTGCTGAAAGTCAGCCTGATACAGGTAGGGACGTAACAACAGAATCTCATGTTTAAATCCTTACGGTCAAAAATGTATGATTACTAGTATGTAGTTACTCAACTTAATTTAATTTAATTTAAGATAATGATGTTATACATGCAACTTATTTTCTTGTTCTTTATTGTGAGCCAGGGTAGTCGCAGGGACTACTCCAGTTTAACACTGGGGGTATGTTGTACCCTGTAGACTACATGTCGTTTATACGACACCCGGTAGTATCAATGTATATTTTTTTTCTTGTAATAAAGTGGCCTACGTGACCAGCGAGCCATCGGCATTTGCTTGATCAGCGAATCCCACGACTCGGCGAAAACGCTGGGTTGTTTGTCACAATGCTCGAGCAGTCAAGTAATGACCACTACAGAGCATCAACGCGTGTCAGAGTATCTTTTAATATTTTATAATTGTAGTATTTCATTATTTTATTATTGCATTATTTCTTTATTCCATTTTAAATAGTCCATAGTTCATTTTAATTATAATAAAGTGCTACTTCTTTAAAACAACTCTCCTTTTATTTATCACCTTCATCACAAAAGGTACCATCACATCACTACGATATTACAAGTAAATAATAATATTATGTAAAAAATTCGCGCCCCTGGATTGTGTATTTGCGTGTTATTATCTATTATTTTTAATTTAGTAACTATAGCATAATTTAATAAAAAAATATAATATAATATATTTTTATTATAAGTGCACCATGACGAAGGGGCCTCTCAAAACAGCGGTCCCGTTGGATTTATCCTACTCTCCACCTGGGCCAGTCCGCCACTGGACTACTCCTACTCTTAATGTTAATATAGTTTTGATTCTGAGCCAAGTTGCATTTACTGCAATATGTCTTTTTTTGTATGTGACACTATTGTGAGTTAAGTATACTGTATGCAGTATGCCATGTATAACATGGAATATTTATGGTTCCCAAACTTCTTACAGTACAACCCATTTTGGAAATTATTTCAATTTTGACGACCCAAAAGAATATTGACTTTTTTTTTGCTATTTTCATCATTTTAAATCGAAGAAAAATATTATATTTATAAAAAAAATTTTATACTATGTAATTTAATTAGTAAGTATATAATTTTAATATGAAGGATGTAATTGTTTCCTATTTTTCATAGCTGGATTGATATCCACTTTTTTATTTTGTTTGTAAAGAACTTGTTGTAAGCTCATCATCAATTTTCTTTTTTTAAAAGCTGACTCAGATATTATCTCTGTTTCTTCAATTTTCACAGAACTTTGAGCTATTGACTTTTTATTTAACCATTTGTCCATAGTAACTGTACAAAAGCACAAAAAAAAAAACGAATTTATTGGTTATTTGAAAAATAGTAAGATTTAAACTGCATGCATGTATAGTATTAAATGTACCATTTGTTAATGAAAATAATCAATTTATTTGAACGTCATACAGGTACTAATTTGTTTCAAATATATTGCTATATTTTCAATAATCATTAATCCCATTGCGTTGTGTTGACACAGTCAAGCATACAAAGAAATATTATTATGTCTATTGGTCGCAGTAAATTTGTAATTGTCACAAACGCAGATAACAGTTTATAATAAAACTAACTAAATAATTAAACATCAACCATAAGTAATAAAAACACATGAAAAATATAACGCTTTTGGATCGCGATCCACAGCTTGAAAACCTCTGGTTTAGAGGAAATGTAGAATTGTTTAATTTTTAATTTCGACGATTTTATCTCAAAGTACATTTTTAATTGTAATTACAATTGATTAACAACTGATTATCAACTGATTAACAATATATAAAAAAAAAATTATAATTTGTAATTTACATAAGTATGTAATACATTTTATTTTACATAAATATTTTTAAATATTATATTTCCGGCCATTAATGGTAC